CGCGAGAGGTGCATGTGAAACCACGAGTATACTATTTTCCAAGGGGTAGTTCTAAACAGAACATGCTTACAAATAATTATACCAAATGACAGAAAAATCTGCAATTTCTCAATACGCAGTATAAAAACTCTATTTTAAAATACAGTTTTTAAGCTTTTAATCACAAAAAAAGATATCAGTTTACTTGGTGGTCCATTTACTAGCCATCTCACTATTCCTAGACTAATACAATGAATCTCTTTCAGACGAGTAAGCTTAGCTAGGTAATAGAACAAAGGTCCGAAAGCTAGGCTGGGTGTTATACATAAAACAGAATTAGCAGACCTGACACTGGGCGCTACGTTTTCACAGAGTACCTGTGGGTGCGGGCGCGTCTTTGGCTTAATATACATTTCTTGATTGACTTGAGACCACGATCTGAGAGATATTTCCTCAAACTTTGCATACAAACTGCCCAGGGGTGAGGATTGAGGTATACGAAACACAGTGCAGGTATCAGGGGTCTTTCTCATGGGCCATTGCGATTCAACCACGTCAGATATATTTGGTATGAATTTATTTTTAGTACCAGGTTATTAAAGATACAGTACCTACATACTAAGATACATGTAACCATTTAATGGGAAGACTATTTCCACTAACCAAAACCAGGAATTGGTGAATTGCACACATTCAACTTTCAGTTGAATGTAAGGGTCCAGGACTTTTTAGGGGTTAACTGGAGTTTGACCCGGAAATATTTCCATCACTGGCAGTTATCCGGATGGTAATTAAATCGGTGCACCTGGGATCTTTACTTCCTGTCCTCACCAACCTGCTCCTTGGAGCAGACATGCAGCAGTGAAAGGCGGTCCCAGTCCGCAGTTGGGTCAACTTTGTTGGCCTAACGCTGAGCACGAGTATGGACAAGAACAGGAGCAGCTGATCTGCCCGCTGTCGGACATCTCCATTTGGGTTCTCTGCCTTTTCCTCTACTTGGCTCCAATAAGAAGAAGATTTTGGAATAAATTAGGAAAAATTTTCTGGTGTCCTCTGGTCAACCGTTACTACTAGACCGCTGTTCCACATGGAACTCTCCGAGACCCTTTCTTATCTTTGAAAGCCATATCCTATTACCTTAGACACGAATTCCATTATTAATTGTGGTTCCTGATATCTCTAAAAGTAGAAACAGACCGAGCCCTTCAGTTAACAAGTCCTCTCATGGGAACCATAACAAAATCGGAGTCAGAAAATCTACACATAAGATAGAAACATTCTCTTGATAAAGCTAAGTTAGGGCTGGATCAGGTGAGTCCTGAACATCTCTTATTTAGCTCTAACATAACATAACACACACAACACATCTCTCTCTTTCTTGACTCATCATAAACCATAATGCATTTATAACTCACATCTTCCAATTCTTGTGCTTTCCTACGCATGGTTCTCATGGATCCTAGGTGACTCGCAGGAGACATGACACAAACAATAATATTAAGGATATATATATTATTATTATTATATTATTATTATATATTATTAATAAATATATATAACAGAACTATTATATATAATCACCATAATCCTCATCATATACTATTAGTGTATTTTGCATACTGTTGTTGATGATGCACTTTAGTCTCTGTCTCTATCCTGATCGTTACTCTACTCTCTCATCTTTCTTCTCTCTATTCTCTCTCTCCTCTCTCTCTCACCCAACTGTCGAGGCAGACGACACCCACTAAAGCCGGGGCTGTCCGAGTTTTCCGCCCTTAAAAGGAACGTTTTTCCTTGCCCAAAAAACGTCACACAGTGCTCTCATGGTTGGTAATGTGGCTCTAAATGTAAAGGAGTTCTATATATATATATATAATAATTAACATCTTGTGCTAAATAATATCATTGTTAGTTGTCTGCCTTCTCTCCTATATATTGGATCCAGATGGCACAAAACGCCAAATACATTTGAAAAACTCAACAGCAATGTCTCTTTTTAGAAAGAATGAGGAACTATTTTCCTTCATGAAACTGCTGGACATAAATGGGTCACAGTCAGTGCAGCAAGTACATAATGCATACATATACTGTAGATGATGACTGTATAGATATGCAAGTTCTGGAGTTTAGATTATGATGCCTTATTTTGTGACTTGAGTGTCAAGGAACCATTAAGCTCTCCCACACATGTTAGATGGTGTTAAGCTATTTGTTTTGATGTTTGTTGTCTGCAAACAGGATTAAGGCTTCTCCATGTTTTTGTCACAGGCGTATACCTGCAGGGTCGGACAGAGGATGGACTGGGGATGATGTTTGGCGTCAACCACATTGGTCACTTCCTGCTAACCAACCTGTTGCTGGACCGGCTGAAGGAGTGTGAACCGAGCAGGGTGGTCAACGTGTCGTCCATGGCACATAACTTTGGAAAAATCGATTTCGACTGCCTGAACACACACAAAGCTCTGGGGCTGGGCACCTCATCCATGGAGGTTCTCCAGGTCTACTCCCATAGCAAGCTGTGCAACGTCCTTTTCACCCATGAGCTGGCAAACAGACTGCAGGGAACTAAGGTCACCTGCTACAGCCTCCATCCAGGTCAGTGTATGACCATTTGTCTCACACAAACTAAAATAGCTAGTAAGGTCTTAAAACTGAAATTATAGTACACTGGTTCCTTAAAATGGGGTACAACAAGGGTGTGTGAGGGAGTTGGTAGTGAAGAAGTGGTGAGGACAGGGACAGCAATCCCACCACCACCTTGGTCCAGACTCAATTATCTTGACAAATATTGAAAGGATTGGCCATTGATGGCTACAGTGTTGGTGGTGGGGCTCTATTTATCCCTATGAAAGTTGCTCAGTGGGCATTGTGGAGCCCACAGAGGAAGCGCACTAGAGACTTCTGCCAGCTGAGCGGGCTGAGCTGCTAACTTCCCGTTTACCCCTTTGCTATCATGCGACAGTTTTTAAAAAAATGGTCCAGTGCATAGCTATCAATGTGAAGTTTTTTTTTTTTAGAAGCAGCTAAAGATCTGTCAACTAAAACCTTTATTTTCTGTTTTTGCAGGAGCTATCAACTCTGAGCTGGCGAGGAACGCTAGCCCAGTGATGCTAATGCTCCTGAAGCCTGTGACTGTTTTTTTCTTCAAAAACACAGTCCAGGGAGCCCAGACCACACTGCACTGCGCCCTCCAGGAGGGGATCGAACCTCTTAGCGGGCGCTACTTCTCCAACTGCACTGTGAGAGAGGTCTATGCCAAAGCCAAGGACGACGCCACAGCAAAGAAGCTGTGGGAGCTCAGTGAGAGACTGTGTGGTCTCGCATAGAAAGTTTTCCATCTAACTCCTTATATTGGGTTGTCGACAGCATGTTTCCATCAACATACAGATTTTTCATATGGATTTTGAAGTGTCGCATTTGAAAGGGTTGATAGAAATGGCAAAATTTGACAAAATAAATTAAATTGTGCAATAAAGTTTTTACACTGGATTAAGGTGGGTTTTGCTCTATTGAAAAATGCACTTAGCAAGCATTTAACTTAATAATAACAATAATAATAATAACTAATATAATTAATAAATTATTATTATTACAGCATATTACAAAAACTTTCCCTTCCATATCTCTTTTATTAGGTTTGTTGGCAGTCAGAAAACAACTTGTTTTCCTGTTCGCCACATTTACGTCTACTATTACAGCCATGCGTAACATAACAACGCCAACTTCTGACAAAACTGCGTTGTAGCGTTGTTTATTCACTCCAAACCAATTGGTGGAAATGCACCTCATTTTCTTCTTTCTTTCAATTTTTCTTTTTCTTATAATAATTTCTCTCTTAATAATGTGTCGAACAGTTCTTAACCTGATTTTAGTAGTTTCAGCAATCTCCTTAGTTGTTTTCTTTGCTTGATGCAGGCCAATAATTTGA